TCACACTGGATCTACAGTCTGTCCATCAGAAGCGCTGGCTGGCTGATGCTGTGACAGTATAGGGTAGACAGAGAGACACGCTGACACATTGCACAGGGAGAGAGGGTGTTAAGTATGAGACCACAGGCTCCAACACTGAAGAGCTCCCACTGCCTCAGTGCATACTGGTGACCGACCACATCCTGCTTCACACCCGCACTTCTGTTTCTCTCACACTCTCTCATCTATCTTTTCTGTCATTCTTTTTTGTCACTTTATTCTCTTGTTTTTGTGAGGACTTGTGGTGACGCTATCATATGTTTAGTGGATTTCAGAGCGTCTCACGAAACAGCTCAGGAGTATCGATGAAAGGAAGCTAGTATAGGACAAGCTGGCTAATTTTGTGCTGCCTTTTCTGAGAGAGAATCAGTTTTAGAAACTAGGTCACATAAAAAATACACCACTACAATACATCACAGGATAATTATTCACACTTATTATAAAATGCATTATTCATGGAGTTAAAGAAGAGGGGTTCGAAAAATATGCTGCAGAGCTGACAATGTCCAGTGGCTAAGAGCAGACATGTGCAAGCAAACAGCCAACCAAAGCTAAAAGAGGAAAGTAATTACAGATAGGCAAAAGAGAGACGTCTTGCCTATTTCAGACGGTGACGGAGGGTCTCGCGGCTGGTGCTGCAGATCAGAGGGTTGAGTGGAGACTCTCTCATGCTGGTGCAGGTCTGTGCACTGGAAGCACAGCCACTTGTTGCAGAAGGTACACAAGCTCTGCGCCATCCGGGGCTCTGAACACTCAGAACAGCACTGAAGCACAAGCAGATACATTGAGGAATCATTCTTTTGCATTCCGATAGGATGGAGTGAAGTAGTAGCTAAAAGTAGCATCTGTAAATATCTCAAGTAGCACTTTAAAATATCAAAAGAAGTGTTTTTTTGTTGTTGTTCATACAGTTAGTCAATATTGTTTCACCCCATTGACTTTCGAAATATCGTCTTTTGTGTTCTACAGAAGAAAGAAAGTCATGTAGGTTTGATTTTTTTGGGGTGAACTATTGGATGTCTACTGGGACTTAATATTTATAAACCAAGCATTGTTGTCATGAAAAACAACATAAAGCATTCATAATGAGAGCAAAGCTGCCCGTTTCAAAGGATGCCAAAAATATTCACATTTACATTCCGCAGTATTCCCAAAAAGCAAACCCAGCGAAACAATTACACATTATGCGACATCTGTGTGTCACAAGAAGCCGCAGTTTGCTGATTACCTCAGTGTCAAACCAAAAACAAATCAAATGTTGCATTTTGCAACTCTCCAAATCTCCCTGAAAATGCAATGCATAAGCAATCTTACCTTCTCCATGGTGGTGGCGGGATCCAGATTCCTCGTGAGAGCGTGAGAAAGATTGCGATATCCAGCCGAGCAGCTCTCGCAGCAGTGAGGCAAGGACACGGCAAGCCTCTGACACAGCTAGAGCTCCACACCACACTGTGACAGCTCTACCTGCGGCAGGAAGTAGTGCACACTGCACACTTTAACCCCGGTGGAGTAGACTCCTGAGCGCTCCTCGTGTGCCCTCAGCCGTGGCCGGCGTGTAGCTCTCCTCATTGGCTTCCTGCAGCAGCTCGAATCTCGAATCCTTCCCTCTGACAGCCACCATGATCTTTCTTCTTAAATAAGCCTGTTCATAATAATTGGGAATTAGGGAGGGCTGATAATTATTTTTTTTTCTGGGACAAAATATCCCCGGCAGCCTTGTTGCCAAAAATGGAAGGGGAGAGGTGCCAGATGACCTACAATATTTAAGAGAATGGCACATGAAGGGTGTGAGATGGATCGGGGATGAGGGAACACACGTTGGTGCCCTCCTTCCTCACTTCCTTAGATCAGCACTAGTAAAGGACAGGTCCCTCCGGACAGGACCCGCTCCCACGTAACACGCTGAAACCGGGTCAGCCTTCTCCAGGAGAAGATGGGAATTGAGATGTGCTCGCACAATGCCCTGCAAAGCGTGAAATCAATTATGATTGTATCACACTTCATCTTCTTGAAAGAATTTTGAGGCATGACTTCTTCAAAATCTTTCACAGGTAGGAGATATTCAACAACCAATGCATAAAGTGGAAAAAGGCAGATGGGTGGGCGGGCGGGCAAAAGGGGATTGGCGTAAACTAACGAAACCGTACGTAACCCGAACTGACATCGGTATCGTGCAGATCCCCACTAAGAAACCACCGTGAGTCTGCCTGACAACAACCCCTGCAGCCTGACCTACAAATCTGACAACTCTCTCTTCCTCTAGAGCTGCTCATGGGAGCTTAAAACCATCCGATTCCCCATTGTGTACCCACAGACCCACTTTAAAACACAATTAGTCTACCCAGCCAGTCTTTCTCTTGTTCTTCGGGCAGACAGGCGTGCATGCGTCTCCCGTCTTGCCTTCCGTGCCACTCCATTTGCTTTTAAAACAAAAAGCTTACGCTTCCTCTCTCTCTCTCTTTCTAACTGCCAGAGATAGCTCCTTTTTCTCAGTAAGTGAATTCAGCATGAGTATCCTTCTGCCTGAGCAAGCACAGCCATCTCTAGAGAAAGTACATTAATAGAAACTTGAGAGGAGGTTCCTCCCCTGGAAGAACACCTTAGTAACATCCATTAACATCATTGGTTATGAGATCATGGCAGATTTGCCCATAGCAGATGGTAATGTCTCACTACAGATTATTCAATTCATTAGGTCTTCCACTTATTACAAGTGAATATTTATTTTAGCCAATTATCGGTTTGCAGATTGAAGTCATAACACAATCATTGGTTATTAGAAAGAATGTTGTATATCCTTTACATAAGTGATACTAAATTAATCTGATGTTTAAATCCCAGTATGGAATTCATGTACTGGATAGTTTCAGGTAGTTCCAAATGTAATATAAAAGTGAATCTTATTTATAGGGGAAAAGGACTTTGTCAATATCATTGTAATTGGTGAATAGGAAGTGGTAACACTGAAAACATAACAGAAGAACATTTACATAAAAATAATAAACCACCTTAGATAAAATGTTATGAGATTATATGTAAGCAGAGATATCTTGACTTCTATTATGCTGTGGCCTACAGTGATAGGCAGAGATAAATAAGTGTAGCCACTGAAAATGATAAGCAACCACAAGCTTTGCAGAATAAAAACGGCACATTACCAGTATGCTAAAAAAGGTTTTCATACATATAGGCTATAAATTATAAGGTGGGAGTCTTAGTAAATGGCCATTTTCATACAGCTATATTTTTTCCAACATATAGGGATAAATAATAATAAAAATGGCAAAAAGTTGCAAGTCAGAACCAAAATTAGACGCCAACTAAAGAACAAAAGTTCGTTCGACCAGAATGATCCAACCCGACACTACTATACGCATGCGCACGGCATATACTTCGGCAATAGACGACATTTCAGTGTGGATAACTTTATAGAATAAAAGAAATATAACACACACACATTTTTTTTTTTTTTTTTCAGAGATTAGTAAAATGTTTTTCCAGGCTAACTGAAGTTTAGCTAATGGCTGGCTCCCAATTATGGACAGATCGGCGACCCGCAAAGACGACCTTTGGAGTTAGGATACATTAAATAATTTAGCAGATGTTTACATTTCATAGCGATAAAAAAAAAAAAAAATCATATTTGCACATAAAGTCGTAGTATAATTCGCACACTAAATAAGACAATTATTCAGCAATGTGGAAATATGTGCCATTTTAACAAACAATAGTAAGTTATTGGAGTCAATATAGGAGGCAAACACGTTAACGTTATGTTGACAGAGTGAAACTTAATGCTTGTTAAGGGATTTTACAGACAGATAATAATAGGATTAATTCCATTTCAAACCCCTCTGGAAGATTATTTCGCGCCATTTACTTCAAATACACACAAAAAAGAATAATAAAGACTCCCCAGAAACACTTTAAAAA